GTAGTTCAGTGTCTTCCTTTTTTTTTAATTTCAGAAATCATAGTTTTTATCTCTAGAAGTTAAATTTGAATATTCTTATACAAAATATCTCTTATACCTCTACATGTTCATATTTTCCTCTATATTTTAAATATATGAAATACAGTTATAATAACTCTTTTAAATCCTTGTCTGCTAACTCTAACTAACATCTATGTCAGTTTTGGTTGATTGACTTTTCTCCTCATTATTGGTAATATTTTCCTGCTTCTTTGCATGCTTGATATTTGTTATTAGATGCCAGAAATTGTGACTTTTATTTTGTTGCATGTTGGACATATTTTTATTTTCATAAATATTCTTAAGCTTTGTTCTTAAGCTACTTAGAAACATCTGGATCTTTTTAGGTGTTGTTTTTAATATTTGTTAGGTGGAAGCAGAGAAGCAGTCTAGAAATATTTATTCCTTAGTGCTGAAGAAAAACTCTTCTGAGCACTTCTTTACCCAATGCCCCAAGATATGAGATTAATCATACAGACTAGAACAGGTACTATTCCCATTCTTGTGTGAACTCTGAGCTCTGTTTCATAATTATTTCAGTTGGTTCTTTTCTCAGGCTTAGATAGTTTCCCCAAAGGCATACACTTATTAAGACTTGGCTGAATACAGGAGGAGGACCCTATTAGATCTCTGAAATTCTACAGGAAGTACAACTCTCTCATTGCTGATATTCTCTGCCTTGATAGCTCTAGCCACCTGGGTCTTGGTTTCTTCTGAGTGTTGGCTCCAACTCTTCAATTCAAGGATTCTGCTGGACTCTACCTACATTTTCCTCTTCATTGTTTCTGGTCTGGAAACTCTCTCAAGGCACTAAGCTGGGGCAAGTGAAGAACTCATCTCAATGGCCATTGTCTTGAAAACATTGTTTTATACATTAAATATTTTTGATGTTTCAAGCAAGACGATAAATACACTTCCTTTTTGTTACTCTATCTTGACAAGAAATGGAAGTCTCTAATATAACCTATAAATCTCCTTCTAATCATTGCTGTAACAGTATTTCATAACATTTGGAATCTTATATTCTCATTTTCATTCAGCTCAAAACTTTTCTAATTGCCCATAAAACTTCCTATTTGACACACAAATTATTTAAAAATTGTTGTTGTTAGGTGCCACTCTGACTTATAGCAACTCTATGTACAGTAGAATGCTGTAAATTTAGAAGTGTGTTGTTTAATTTCCAAGATTTTGGGGATTTCCAAATATATTTCTGCTACTACTTTCTAGTTTAATTCCATTATGTTTAGAGAACATATTTTGTATGATTTAAGTTCTTTCAAATTAGTACATATCTGTTTCACAACTCAACATATAATCTATTTTGGTAAATGTTCCATGTGCACTTTCCAAGAATATGTATTCTCTTGCAGTCGGATATATTATGTCAGTTAGATTCACTTGACTAAATCAGTCAATTTGATTCAGTTTTATTGTATATCCTTGTTTTTTTTTTTTTTTGTCTCTTGTTCTTTCTTCTCCTCAGAAGGAAGACTGGTCAATCTACTTCTGCAGTGATACTGCCTTGGAAACCCAAGGAGAGCTGCTATGAGTTGGATCCAACTCGACGGCAATGAGTTGGTTTTTTTATTTTTTTGTTCTTTCTTCAACTATAACTGTGGATTTGCCCATTTCTCCTTTCAATTCCATCGGGTTTTTTTTTTTTTTTTTTTTAAATGACAGTTGTAGTTTTGGTGAAGGTTTACACAGCAGTTTAGGTTCCCATTCAATAATTTATACACAAGTTGTTCAGCAATATTAGTTAAATTCTTCACAATGTGTGAACATTCTATATTTCCATTCTGGTTGTTCCATTTTGTTTACTTAGTTTCCTGTCCCCTTACATTCTTATCTTTGTTTTAAAGTAATTTGTTGACCATCTGATCTCATATAGGTGATGTTTCTTAAAGAAGCACAGTACTGATGGGAGATAGTCATTATTTTTCAAGGCAATTTGTTTCCTCAAGGGTTTGTTTCCACTCAAGATTTGAAGAATATCTCAGAGCAATAGTTTTGGGGAGTCCTCTAGTCCTAATCAGTCCAGGAGGGTGTTTTTTTTTTTTTTTTTTTTTTGGTGGTTGTTGTTTGTTCAGGAATGTGAGGCTTTGTTCCACATTCATTCTCCCATTCTATCAGAGTTCATTTATTGTGACCCTGATTCGAATGGTTGGCAGTGGTAGCTGGTAGTTCTAGTTTTAGGGTGGATGAGGCCATGGCTCCTGTTGTCCATCAGTTTTTTTACATAGGTTTTGAGAGCACAGAGAGTCTTTATTTGGGAAAAATAATATTTTGGATTTTTTGCCCATGTCAAAGTAAAACAAAGTTCCCATAATATGACTAAACTACTCCACATAATATTATATAAGATTAATTTAATTTTCTGATGTTAGAAATCCATTTTTATAAAGAGCCTGCGAGATATTAGGTTAGAAAGATAAGACTTTATGTCTCTCACTCAGTAACTATTGGCTGTCAGGCTGCTGTGAATTGCTACAGAAGGCCTTGTGTAGTGGAACCTGCCTGTCTACCTGCATACCCCATAGTTCAGGCTCTAAAATAAACAGGACTTGGAGGTCAAGTCAAGTCTGTCTGCCCTCCCTCCAGTTGGTTCTGAGGACTGCTGATTGAGGCTATTGTGTGCTAGGAAGTAGGGATCTTGAGTTGAACCTACAATCACAGCCAACATACTACCCGAGGGACACTGATTGCAACAAGGAAGACCTCCCTGGAGGTCTGTTTGGAATGTGATAGCCCCTCATTCACCTGGTAATGATCAGTTACTAGTCTGCTATGAATTGATATAGAAGGCCTTCTGCAGTGGAGCCTGTTCTCATAGCCAGCACTCTGCTTGCCTGCCTGAGCACCCCATAGCTTAATCTTCCAAAATCAACAGGACAGATCTACTTGGGGGTCAGTTTGGGTCTGTCCCTTCCTGTTCACATTGAGGACTGCTGACTGAGGTTGCTGGGTGCTAGGAAGCAGGTGCTTGAATGGAGCCTGCCTACTCTGCTAACATTACCAGTGAGGATCTGATAGAAACAAGGCAGATCTTCCTGGAGGCCTGTTCAGAAAATGGCAGCTCCTTTCATACCCAGTTAATTGGGCTACTGGGTTGATACAAACTCACACAGAAGGCCCTTTGCAGCAGATCTAGGAAGCAGACCACGTTAAGTGGAGACTGCTTCCTCAACTACCACAGGGCCACCATGGATTTGTAATCAACAAGAATACATCTGTTGGTCCATCTGGAAAGTGCCAGCATCACCTCCTTTTGATATGAAGAAAGTTGGCTGGTGCTTCCCATGAATGCCAGCTCAGATATAAGTGACCCCACAAAGCAGAGAAGGAAGCCTTGGACAAAACCAGAGGGCAATACCCAGCCCTACAGAGAGCTCACTGGGTGTTCTGGTTACCTAGTGCTGCTCTAACAGGAATATACCACAAATAGATGGCCTTAACAAACAGGAGTTTATTCTTACAATTTGGAGGCTTTAAGTCCAAGTTCCAAGTGCCAGGCTCTAGGGGCTGGGTGAAAGCCCCTCAACCTTGGGGTCCAGCTCTGCCTCCTGCTTCCGGCCCACTGGAGCTAGAGGAGTTTCTTCACTCTGACAGCTGCTGGCTGCTGAAGCTGAGAAGCCCCAAGCTTGACAAATAAAAAGGCACAATCCTGATGTTACTAAACCACACGGCACGCCATTTTCTTAAGTCCATTGTAAGTCCCAAGGTTGGCAGAGCATAGCAGGCTGCTGAGCAACAGCACGGCTACATGCAGGGTCCAAGCATGCCATAGGCTAGAGACCATTCCCAAGCCTTCTCCTTATACCCAGGAAGCAGACCACATCCCAAAGGCAGCTACTCAGCTGCTTGTGGTAGATCCCACCATGGAGCTGATTGCCAGTCTCATCATGGGGAATAACTACCACCAGCTGCCCAGCCACTCAACCAGGCCCAGCTAAGCTGACACAAAAACATAACCACCACACTGGGTGTTGGCTTTCCAAGTGAAAATGTGGTTGCAGAAACAGAGCAGGGGAAGGAAGAATAACCAGAGGGAGAGAGAGAGAGAAAGCATAGATTGATTAGTGTGTGGTATCTTGCCTGAGTGCCTGCACCCTCTAGTGGACAGATTGATAACTGAGTGTTCTTTGGTTTGTTTAGGAGACAATGAAAATTGAAAATGAGATCTAGAATTTTATAATCCTAATTAACTCAGAGGAGCTCTGGTAGCATAGTGCCTGAGGCACTTGACTGCTAACCAGAAGGCTGGCGGTTCAAACCCACCAGCCACTCCTCGGAAGGAAGGTTGGGCAATCTACTTCCGTTGTGACACTGCCTTGGAAACCCAAGGAGGGGTCGCTATGAGTCAGGTCTGACTCGAGGGCACAACAACAACAACAATTAACTCGGAGAAGGAGAGGGAGATATTACAGAGAGCGAGAGAGAGCAAGTGGCAAGCAAAAGCTGAAGTCTCTGCCCACCTCAGCATTTCTCACATAAAATAGTGTGGGCAAAAACACCGAATATTTGGGAGAACTGAGAAAGCTAACATACTTGAAAATTCCAATGCCCCAACAAAAACTATGGGACACACAGAGATAAAAGAAACGACAGCCCCTCCAAATGAACATGAGGAAGGGAGTGAAATTGAATCTATGGAAGTCTGAATAATCAACAGAAGAATATAATACAACAACCTTAAACATAATAATAATAATAATTAGACAAACATCTAAAAGAAATAAGGAAAACTATGTATGAAGAAAATAAGGATTTTAAAAAAGAGATAGACACACTAAAAAATACCAAACAGAAACACTGCAACTGAAAGTGGTTTTCAGCCTTAAATGAAATAACTATGCGAAAGACCTATAATATAGTCTCTGATATATTACTGAATAAATGTTGTGGAAAATATATTTAAATGTTTATATGTAATACATATTTATGTAATATTTACCAACCTTGAATAAATAGTTGGTCCAACACCATCTTCTTGATGTAATGCCAACAATTCCATCATCAGGAAGATTTTCATTTCTTCCCAGTCTTGTGAAGTTATGAAAACTTCTTAGGTAAAGAATACCCTTTATTACAAAAAACACTCTGTTCTCTGATAGGCATACATCTGTTACACTGTGTCTTTCATCATCATTCAAAATACCTGGAGGCACTCTGATTTTCGTCCAAGTGTGGAATGAATCATTTGTTTGAAAAGTCTCCATGTCAGCTACCACAACAACATATGAAGGAATACAAGCATTCCAATCAGCTATTAACTGACTACCACTTGGTGAAGAAAGTGGTAAATAGCCAGGAATCTCAGGTATAGTTTCTGAAGGAAAAGTTAGCAGAAAAAGAAGATTTGGAATAAAGCAATCTTGAAAAGGCACATTGTTTCCTTGAATATCTCTCAGCACATCATCATCATCTTCCATTGGTACTGATATTTTCCAGACCCTAAGGAGAGAAAATAAAAAATACAGGAACAAAATCATCTCTCTCTCCTATGATCCATCAGGCATAGTGTAGACATTTAACACATTTTTAAAAATTAAATTTTGTTTTTACCAATATAAATACAGGTAAAGAACTTTTAATTAGTACAAAAATGCCATTCAACTGACTGGAAGAGATCCATATTTGTGCCCATCACAAAGAAAGGTGATCTAACAGGATTCAGAAATTGTCAAACAATATAATTAATATCACATGTAAGTAAAATTTTGCTGAAGATAATTTTAAAACAATGCAGCAGTACATCAGTAGGGAAGTATCAGAAATTCAAATCGGATTCAGAAGAGGACAAGGAATGAGGGATATCATTGCTGATGTCAGATGGATCTTGGCTGAAAGAAAGAATACCGGAAAGATGTTTACCTGGTTCTATTGACTATGCAAAGGCATTTGATTATGTGGATCATAACAAATTATAGATAACATTCTGTGGTAGTTAAGTTTGTGTGTCAACTTGGCTGGGCCTGCTGGAGTGGCTGGGCAGCTGGTGGTAGTATCCCCCATGATGAGACTGGTAATCACCTCCATGGTAGAATCTACTGAGCCCCCCACGACTATGTTCCTGAGCAGTTGAGTAGATGTGATCTGATTCCTGTATAAAAGGAGAAGCCTTGGGGAATGATCTCTAGCTTATAGCACACTTGAACCCAGCATGTAGCAGCCTGCCATGCTCTGCAGACTTTGGGACTTTCAATGACTTGAATTAATGGCCTGCCATGTGGTTTGGTAACATCAGGACTGTGCCTTTTTACTTGTCAACCTTGGGCTTGTCAGTCTCAGCAGCCAGAAGCTGTCTGAGTGAAGAAAAGCCTGTAGCTTCAGTAGGCTGGGAGCAGGAGGCAGAGCTGGCCCCCAAGGTTGAGGGGCTTTCTCCCAGCCCCTAGAATCTGGCACTTTGAACTCAGATTTAAACCTCCAAATTATAAGAATAAACTCCTGTTTGTTAAAGCCATCCCATTTGTAGTATATTCTTGTCAGTGTGGCACAAGTTAACCAGAACACATTGCAAAGAATGAGAATTCCAGAACACTTAACTATGCTCATGAGGAAGCAGTACATAGACCAAGAGGCAGTTGATCAAAAAGAACAAGTGGATACTACATGGTTTAAAATCAGGAAAGCTCACAACTGGACCAATAAGCAACATCATGATAAATGAAGAAAAGATTGAAGTTGTCAAGGATTTAAATTTTACTTGGATTCACAATCAACACCCATGGAAGCAGTGGCCAAGAAATCAGACCTTGTATTGCTGGGCAAATCTGCTGCAAAACACCTCACATCTTTAAGTGTTAAAGAGCAAAAATGTCACTTTGAAGTATGCCTGACCCAAACTTTGATATTTTCAAGTAACCTCATATGTGTGTGAAAGCTGGAAAATGAATGAGAAGACTGAAGAAGAACTGATGCATTTGAATTGTGGTGTTGGTGAAGAATACTGAAATTACCACGGACTTCCAGAAGAATGAACAAATTTGTCTTGGAAGAAAGTACAGCCAGAATGCTACTTAACAGCGAGAATGGTCAGACTTCATCTCATGTACTTTGGTCATATTGTGAGAAGGGACTAGTCCCTGGAGAAGGACATCATATCTAAAAGTATAGTCAATGAAAAAGGGGAAGACACTCAACAAGATGAATTGACAAAGTGGCTGCAACAATGGGCTTAGGAATAACATCACAAAGATTGTGAGGATGGTGCAGGACCAGGCATTGTTTCATTCTGTGAGTCTGAGCCAACTTGACATCATGTAGTAACAAAATGCTATCACTTTTCCATTTCTCCTCATTCTAGAACCCCCCCCCCTTTTTTTTCTTTAACTTTTTATTGTGACTTGGGTGAAAATTTACAGAGCAAATTCATTTTCAACAGTTCACACACATTTTGTTTTGTGACACAGATTGCAAACCCCACAATGGAACAGCTCTTTTTACGTTTTGCCTATGTCCTTCTTTCCTATGCATTCCTGCCCTCTGAGCTCTCTCCCTGCACAAATGCTGCCCTTCTGATCTCTCATGGTTGATTGTTTTAAGGGGTGCACCTACCTGGTGTAATTATTTACCTCATAGGCCTATCTATCCTTGGCTGAAAGTAAAGCCACAGGAATGAGTTTAATCTCAGGCTGGAAGGGTGGGTGACTAGAGGCCATAGTCTTGGGGGTTTCACTGATCTGTATCAGACAAGTAAGCCTGATCTCTCTCTCTCTCTCTCTCTCTCTATATATATATATATAGTTGTGGTGGTGTTGTTATTTGCCGTCGAGTCCTTGGGTTTCCAAGGCAGTATCACTACGGAAGTAGGATATATGTATGTATGTATGTGTGTGTGTGTGTGTATGTGTGTATATATACATATACATATATATATATATATATATATATATATATATATATATACTTTTTGAGTTTTGTTCCATATTTTTCTCCCACACTATCCAGGATCTCCAATTTTGATTCCTGTCTGAGTAACTGGCAGTGATACCAGATACTGTCTACTTTTTCTGGTCCAGGGTCATGTAGGCTGAGGTCCTGTAGTCAGTCTATTAGTCCCTTGGACTAATTGTTCCCATGCATCTTTGATTTTCTTCACTCTTCTTTGCTCCAGATAAAAAGAGATTAGTTGTTAAATCATAGATGACTTCTCACAAGCTTTGGAGATCCCAGTCACCAATCACCAAAGTGGGATGTAGAACAATGTTTTTGTGTATTATGTTATGCCAGTTGAGCTTGAAGTCCTCCATGACTATGTTCCTGAGCATGCAGGCCCACCAACTCACTCCCTCAAGGTGTCTGGGTGTGGCTAAGAAGTTATCATAATTTTTCCCTCTGTTAGTTCTATGACATATATGGACATTTTATAGCACATATAAATAAGTACCCAGAAATATCTTTTGCCAAACCTACATGTGGTCATGTGCATATTCCCTTTTGCCTACCCATACCTGATCATCTTGTCTGTCTACCTATGTATCCACCCATAGATTAATGTTTGTTATTACTGATAATGCAGTATTGTGTATGTAAATCTGTTGTCTGTACCTCTCATGCACCTCTCCGTGTTTCCTTTTCCTTAGTGTTATTGTGCTGGTCACCCACTTTTGGTATTTTGCCTTTCCCTTCACCCAAATATCAGTATGTGTCTCATATCTAGCTAGTAATGTTTTCTCCTCTCCTCTGCCATCCCTAGTAACCAACAAAGAATTTTCCTTCCATGTGTAAACCTTTCTTGACTTTTTATAATAGTAGACTCATACAAAACTTGTCTTTTTGTGATTGACTTATTTTACTCAGCATAACGTCTCCCAAGTTCACCCATGTTATAAAGTGTTTCGCAGATTCTTCATTATTTTTTAATGTTGCACAGTATTCCATTGTGTGTATGTACCATAGTACTGTTAACCATTCATCCATTGATGGGCACTTAGGTTATTTCCAATTCTTTGCTATTACGAGTAGTAGGTGTGCATTTATCTATTTGTGTCCAGGCTCTCACTTCTTTAGAATATATACCTAGTAGAGGGACTGCTGAATGAGATGGTATGTCTATTTCCAACTTTTTAAAGAAGCACCATACTCTTCTCCACAATGGTTGTACCATTTTACAATACCACCAGCACTGTATGAGAGTTCCAATCTCTCTACACCCTCACCAGCATTTGTTTTCTGCTTGTTCAATTTTGCTATTTCTGGAGTGAGATAATAACTCATTGTTGTTTTTATGTGCATATCTCTAATGGCCAAGGATTGTGAGCATTTCTTCAGTGTTTATTGATCACCTGAAGATCTTCTTTGGTGAACTGTCTGTTCATGTCCTTTGTGTATGTTTTAATTGGATTGTTTGCTTTTTTGATGTTGAGGTTCTGGAGTTTTCTATAAATTTTAGGGATAAGTCCTTTGTAAGGTATGTTGTTGCCAAATAGTTTTTCCCAATCTATAGGTTCTCTTTTTACTCTCTTGAATAAGTCTTTTGATGCACATAAAATTTAATTTTTAGAAGGTAACAGTCATCTAGTTTATCTTTTTCTGTTTGTGCATTTTTGGGTATGTTTGATAGTCTATTTGTGCCATAAATTAGGGCCCTAAGTTTGCCCCTACTTTTTGATGAACTTTATAGTTTTAGGTAAGTCTTGATCCATCTGCAGTTAGTTTTTGCGTATGGTGTGAGGTATGGATCTTGCTTCATTTTTCTGGAAATGGACATACAATTGTACCACTACCATTTGTTAAAGAGACTATCTCTTCCCCCATTTAATGGGTTTTGGAACTTTGTCAAAGATCAGCTGTCCAGAGGTAGATGGATATATTTCTGAATTCTGAATTCTGTTTCACTGGCCTATGTGTCTGTTGTTGTACCAATACAAGGCTGTTTTATTTCTGTCAGTGTGAGACCTCCTACTTTGATCTTCTTCTTCAGTAGTGCTTTGCTTATCTGAGGTCTCTTTCCTTTCTACATAAAAATAGTGATCATTTTTCCCTTGTCCTTAAAGAATGCTGATAGAATCTGCATGATATTGCATTGAATCTATAGATTGCTTTGGGTAGTACTGACATTTTCACAATGTTCAGTCTTCCAACACATGAGCATATTCTACATTCTTCCATTTATGTAGGTCTCTTATAGTTTCTTGTGTTTTGTAGTTTTCATATAGTATAGGTCTTTTGTGTCCCTGGTAAGATTTATTCCTAAGTATTTTTATCTTTTTGGTAGGTACTCTAAACGGTATTATTTTCTTGATTTCTTTTTCAGAGATCTCCTTGTTGATGTAGAGGAATCCAACTGATTTTTGTGTGTTGATCTTGTATCCTGTCACTATGTTGAATCTTTCAATTACTTCCAGTAGTTTTCTTGCTGAGTCCCTTCTTTTTCCCATGTATAGGATCTTATCATCTGCAAATAGAGATAGTTTTACTTCTTCCTTATCAATTTGGATACCTTTCATTTC